AGGGGGCCGAAAAAGTTTTCCTCATTTCCATTTTTTCCTTTGTGTTGTTCACTTCTAAGTTAGTTCCTAGGTAAAGAACATTGTTAAATAAGCTGGGCAATGAAAAAGAAATGTCAGAAAAGAACCATCAACGATTATGGTTGAAAATTAGCAGAAAATTGTAATATAAAAAATGAAAACCATTTAATTTAATAAAAAAGGCGAACATAATCCCTTATCAGTACTGTGAAAAAATGCTTGGGTAAAAGTTTTATTTTATTATAATTTTTATTTGACTTTTAAAATGGAATCTCTTATCTTATCGTGCTGTTTTAAGTGTGTTTCTTGCTATCTGGGGTACGCAATTGTGTGAATTTATCCGTGTTTTGAAGGTAGTTGGTTCTTATTCTCATGGGAATCTTAACGTCGGCTTCTTAAAGCCGTGATGTAGACATAACAGTATTTCTTCGTTCCATATCACTCGGGATTGGTTCCCATAACTCTATTAAATTTCGTTTTGTTAAAGACTTCTTATTATTCTTACTTCTTCTTCTTAATCCTCGCCATCAGCTATCAAAAACACAAATTGTTTCCCATAATTTTGAACTTGGAAGAAAAGTTTTCTTTCATAACAACGCGAACGGTGCTACTTCCCACACTCTGATAATTACGCGAATGTTTGGAACAGTTTCTCTCACCATCATGTTGAAATGGTCACAAGACAAGTTAAATTGATGAAAATTGTTTGTTCGTATTTGAAGACATTGTGCTGTTTATAGAAAATCTATGTCAAATTAAAGGACTGGAGACGGGTGCCTTAGCGGGGAAACCATTTAAATTTAATGATTCCAATTTTCCAATTTTCTTAATTGACTCCTCAAGTCATCAAATCAAAACATTCATCGCCTTCAAATCTTTAATTTGCAATTTAAACATCTCAAACTGTCAATAATCCCAGCGCATCCATGAAAATGAATTAAAATATTCAGGATATTGCATTTTATTTCAAAAGAATTGTCTCTGAATTCAACATTTTCAATCAGTCTTGATGAATTTTTGATAACATTTGAAATCGATTCAATGTGCTGACGATAGCCTGTAATGATAGATTTTCCACTCAATTACATTCTTTTTGAGAAACTAATCCAGCTTTCGAATTCGTATCGATTCACAAGACTTTTGTAATCGGACGAAAAATGTTTCAATTGGAACTGACAATTTGGAATTTTTGCTATAGCTGCATTGTTTTTTAGTACAGAATTTTTTGGGATCAACACCATCAATGAGAAATACAGCGCTGATGAAAAAAATTCACCCATCAAGTTTGACTGGAAGGTTTTGAAGTTTTGACATGACTGTCTATCACAATCATCGATAGTCAGTTCTTGTATTGTTCATTAATGAAATTAAGACAGTTGAATAGACTAGCTCAACTTGTTTATTGATGCCACAAAATGAACATCCACGCAAGTGCTTTATTGTGGAAATTCCGAAATAATTTTCGATTCTGCATATTAAACAATGGCACTAAAATAGTCGATGGATACTTGGACTGTATCTGTGCTGTTCTAAAGTTTGAGAAGTATTTTGGACAGTTTGTCTGTCAGCTTGATTCACAAACGATGTTGAGGGAGCTGCCTAGAGGTTTGAAGTCGTTTCCTAAGTCACTTGTGAAGTTCATTAGTTCAAATTTAATGGATTTGCCAGCTAAAGCAGTAAATTAAATGAGTTGTTGGTCAAACCTCTCCAACTGACTTAAGCTGATCATTCTGGCTGATAACAACTCTTTCAAAATATTCGCCTTCTACATTTGAGTTGAGTTTAACTTAAACCAATTTCTAACTTCCTGAAAAACCTTTCCTCGCCTAATTTTACTCTCCTAAAAAATATTTTCCTTCTCTATGCTGTTTCCCAACTCGTGTACGAATGTTTTTATCTAGACTACATAATTTTGATATGCAAAATATTCAGACACTCGCCTGCGATCCATTTTGAAAATTTGCAATTTAATTAAATTCATCAACTCGACATTCTCGCCTCTAGTTACGACTCTATTTTTCATTGGAATTTTCGCATGTTCAATTTATTTTTCTATCCTTTACAATGGTCCACCATCAAAAATTATTTCACCGATTATGGTTCAGCTAATGCTTGTAAATATTACGTGGAATGCATATGACGCAATATTAATTGTCATCGTGTGTCATTTAAACAACCAAATGCATTCATAAAAATTGACCATCAGCTATATACTTATTGTTGTGTCCAAAATAATAGCAAAATGAAATTTTTTTTGGGGGTGTGGATGAAAAATAAAATTTCATTCGTGTTTAATTTTCTCAGCTTTTTAATTGTTTTTTCGGAATGGGCCAAAAAAGGGTTGTTGTTGTTGATGAATTTTTCATAGCAAATTAGTAGCTGTCGTGTGAGTTATTTTCATATAGACATTTTTGTTTAATATGTACAGACACTCCTTTTTAAAGTGAATTTCATAGTCCTTGTGATGAATATTGTCGGATTTTGGGAAGTTTTCATTTAGTCTGCCTAGCAATTAAGTTGTTCTTGACAAAATGGTTTTTAAAGAAGTTGTAATCCAGACGCAATCTTGGTTGTTGACTAGCCTTTGTCATCCAAGGCACAACTTGTTTTATAGCAAGCTCTATGTTTAACCTAACGCAAGTTATGCTCTAAAGCAATCAAATAGCTCTAGTTAATCGTCTAGCTAGCCAATGACAATACCATAATGTCAGAGCTATCCTCATATCATTCCCAAAATTGCCGCAAGAACATGACAAAATTATAACAATGTCATTTTTCGTACAGACAACAGAATGAGGAACACAAAAAAATTCAATTTCATTTTCGACTATTGCTGTCCATTCAACCAATTGTTTTCCTCTTTCTCATTTTTTACCGTATCTCCTTTTGCAGCTCGTGCGGGTTTGTAGTGATTTTAATTCAATTTAGTTCAGTTGCATCGAGATTATAGGCACAGGAAGGCTACACTAATTGAATTGAAATTGGGATGATCAAAATATCGACATGAAATATGAACTTCAAGTTGAGCGAGTTAAAAATGAACAGCAACAGAATTGAGATAAAAAATATTTATGGATAAATTGGAATCTAATTGCAGTCAGACATCGATATATTTTAAAATATTAAATTTTTTTGCAGCTACATTCAATGTTTATTGATATGAAAAGTTATAAGAGGATTCGAAATATTTAAAATGGATTTGGGGCCCGTCAAAAATGAATTCTACGTCATCGGAGACCACTTTTAGTCATTTTTTGTGATTTTTTTCCATGAAACTGTATTTTGTTCTTTATTGGTGTTATAGAATTCGCCGAGACGAAGAGTTTGAAACCATTATCATTTTCCTAGCATGTCTGGTTCCTTCTGTAGAGCCATTCGAATACCCACCGATGACGTAGAATTTTCGGGAAAGGGTATTTTGAGTGTAAACAACCTTTAATAACTTCTTTATTCACAGCTTAAATTTTAGTTTTTCTGTACCAAATTGTGCTATTTCTTCTATTTGTTCATTCAAATTATCATCTTTATCAATACAATGATTGGAAGTTACTTAAATTAACACTTTAAGTTTCAAAATCTTGTAACGAATATCATTTTTTTGAATTTTCTTGTATGTTTTTGGTCGACAAAAAAATTTTATTTTTTCGAAAATTGCTGAAAACATAATTAAAACGTAATACAGCTCATATTTAAATGTCGATAGTATGTTTCTAAGGTTCTATTATGTGTTTTAAAAGAGCTAAAGTTACAAATTCACGAGTATTAATTAGATTTTCAGCTGATTAAAGTTTTGGTAATTTTGCTCGAAAATATGTGAAATTTTTGAATTTTATTAAACCGTTAAACTGGAATTCCTATTATTTTTGACGGGCCCCATTTGTATTATTGCCATCGAAATATGTTCCACCTTTTGATCCCATCTCGAACTGTACCAGCATGATGAAGTAGATGAGTGCACTGCTTGCCATCTGGAAATAAATCTTGTGTATTAAAATCAGATTATGCAAGCTGGTGGCTAAAAATGGTAATAGATCAACGAATGCCACCTTCAATGAGAAGTAAACAGCCCACACCGATGAATATAGACTCTCAGCAGTTACTTTAAGATTGCAATATAAATAACAATTAAGCAGGCAGCAATTCAAAGAAACTTCTTACCTTGAATGCAAATCCATAGTCAAATGAGAAGAATCCACATGTAAAATTTGGATATCTGTGCAGTAGCTGCTGGGAAAAAATCAGAATCGATCTGGATGAAGAAGAGCTGCTCTCTGAATATCCAATTTTATGTAAATATTCTGCAGTCTTAATGCCCTAAAACATAAATATTTGTTGATGTCAGAAAAGATTCAAAAAATTTTGCACAATATTTTTGGGAAGACATTTTTCAGGAAGAGAGCTCGTTATATAATCAAGTCGAGTGGATTTTCTGTATTCATCTAGTCGATTTCGAGCTTTTTAAGCATTAGGATGGCTTGGGTAGCCCTAAAAATCAACTCCTGATGATGAAAAATCGAAAAGCTATCAATGTAATAAGAAAAAGTCTTTAATATCCAGAACTAGTAGAAAATTTCAAAGAGTATAGCCAGATTAGAGTATTCCTACGCTCAACCCAAGGAAGAAGGTAAGCAACAATAGACAATGTCAATCAGTTCACAAAGAACAAAATTCATACATTTGATAGCTTAACCAAGAGCACATAACCAAAAAACCTTAATATCACAAAAAAAATCAATTTAAATCACCTCAGCCTTAGCAGAACTTCCCATATGCACAATGCTATACACGAAAATTAAATGAGTTACTGTCCAAAACACACCATTCGTAAAAGTAATCACGAAATAACGCTCAATAGTCCACAGCTTAACAACTGTAAATATTGTCGAGATGATGTAGCAGAATGAATTTAAAATCATCAACATTCCCTTTAAGCGACAAAAGAAGAGGAAGAAGAAGTCATAAATGATTATGAAAAGTACATGCTATAAAATTCTCACCGAAATTCCATATCCAGCGTTAACACATTCACAAGCATTAACAAGCATATCGTGAAGTTTTGCAGCTTTATTTAGATTGTTTAATTTTGCACTATCATTGTAGTACTTGATGGTAAAGCTTTCACATAAAAATCGATTAACTTTTCGATATCTCGCCTTTATAGTCCACATGATGAGAATGAATTGTAAGTAAAGGATTAATGCGAAGTGAATATTAACAATTGTCGAGCACAATATGTATCCATTCAGGGCAAATGATGAGAACTCCTTTGACGAGTATAATGACGCTGAAATTGTCAAGACAATGAAACATTCTAAGGATACAATGCAAGTCATAATAAACTTTTTATGCTTCTTATGATCAATTGTTATTCCATGAGATTCCAATTCTTTATCAACGTTTATGATGATATTAAGGCACTTTATTATCGAGTGACGAGAGATGAACGTGAAAAAAATAATTAGCTGAACTGATGCATGAAATATAGCAAATGCTAAGGTAATTGAAACTTCTACAACTTCTGATACATTCACACCTGCATACCGGAACATTTGCTTGCGATTTATGATAAAAAGGATATTTGAGGATGTGATCCAAATTGACATAATTATCATCGACAGTACATGATATATGCTGACTTTTGCTATCCATTGACTTTGATCCTTTTTTATAGAAAATGGTGTTACAACACAAAGTCTTGATATAATATGAAGAGGTCGAACAACCTCAAAAATATCAGTCATAATTGTAAGCTTACGTCTTCAACGTACTAAACACGGAACTGAATTGAAAGGAAATACCTCTTTTGTGTAAATGTCTCAATTTAGATAATTAAAAAAAAAGAAACTTTTGTAATTTCCGTATTTTATTTATCTGGAAGTGTTTGTAAGGATTTCATGTACGTACTGTGTCTGGGTGTCTGAGCGTTGTTGAGCTAGAATTGAAGTTACAAAAGCTCTGAAGTCTGAATCTTGAATTTTAAGTTGGACTTGCTTACTTTCTGTGGTGGCTCTTCCTTTTTAATTGGAAAGAGTACAGTTCAGGCTGTTTAGAAGCATTTGAACATATTATAAAGCCTAGTTTAGTAACTGAATCGTCCTGAATGTTGTGTGAACTCTAATCTTATCGAAAACAATGTATGCAATGAACCAGTGTTTAAAACCTTCTGAATTGAACCTGATCACACAAAAAAGGACTGCAAATTAAATCCAAGTCCAGAAGATACAGAAACATTTAAAAAATCTGCAAATCATAGTGCATGTGATCTTAAACCTGACAAACATCTCCTTTGCTGCTTTTGAAGTTTAATTCCTGCATAAAAGTCTCAGGTAAATGCTTAACCACTGCACTATCCAGGCACTATATCAAACATGAATTACTTAAACCTCAAAGCTTCACAAAAGCGTTTTAATAACTTCATAAACAAGCCCACACATATCTGATGTAAAACACACAAAAGTGCTGTAACTTAATCCACCGATAAACTCATTTACTATCCATATTGAGCTTTTATGAACAGCATAAATAAAGGTCGATTAAATGTCAATACTGTTAAGCTCCAATGACATTTCAATCCAAAATTCATGAAAATCTATTTTCACCCAGCATTAAAAGGAAGCATAGAATGGGTACCAAATATGCTCGGGTGTGTTGCGGAGGTGGCATAGAAAGTAATTTTCTGAGTACTAAAATGAAATTGCTTTCAGATGAATTCATTGACTGAAACAAGAGTAGCAGCAACAACTACACAGAATTATTGATTAACATGTTACAGTCAATTTAACATGCTATGACAAGGTGAAATTTATATTGGATGTTATCAGACCAAGAAAATATATTCTGTCATAAAATATTGAAATTAAAGGTTCAAGGTCGTCCTTTTTCATCTTGTTGACTGTTCTTTAAATTTATGTCAATTGCTCAAGGCAATGTTTTGACCGAAATTGAAGATCCACAAGACTTGATGTCATTAATTTTTTCTTACACAAAGATTTTCCAGCATAAAGAAAATAGAATTATGAAATTTTACAGCACAAATACTTTTTAATTTAATAAAAATATTGCTGGAAGCTGTGACAATATTTTTTTACACGAGGTTTATGCTGCTCAGGACAGCCCTTATCACGACAGCTATATTAATTAGTAAATGAAAATATATAAAGAAAATTGATATTTATGAACTGTTGACAAAGTTATTTTAATGATTTCAAAGGAACTTTGATGCTGTTTGATAAGTATTTTGTGGATATGAATGAACAAATCAAACCTGAGTAAATTACCGGCTAATTAAGTTGTCATACTCGAGTTGCAGTTAAATTCTTATACAATAAATTACTCTTTGAAGTTCTGGACACAACAAAACCCCCTCCTAACCATAAAATCGAGGGTTGATCCTTAACTCTTCTTCTTGCTACCCGATTGAGGACGTCTTCTCAAAGTCTCAACTGTCTATACGTTTGCTTAACAAACAACTTTGGATCTTTATCAATCCAATTCCATAAATTTTTGCAGCCAAAGGGTAGCTCTTTGGTTTCTAAATTTAGTGTTCCTTGCATTTACTCAAATAATGATCCTATATTCTTATCTATTCAATCTCTTATTATTATATATGAGAAATTCCAAAAATCATCCCTAATTTTAAGACATAAAATAAATAAACATCCCTAAACCTGACAATTATTGCATCACGTTCCATATTGAGATCCCCAAAAATCAAAAACTACTCTTTCTTACTATTCTTATTCCATTCATACTTTTTGTTTAACATAAATTTGATAAAAATTCACTGATATGGAAAATCTACATTGGATCTTAGTAAAGACAATAGTCACATCCTTTTATTCTGCAAAGATAAAATCAGAAGAAATTATTGGAAGTTTAAATTCTGTGATGCATGTCAAGAATAATCAAACTATAAAGTACTGATGATATATCTTTCAAATTTATCATGCAGGATTGATATGTGACACAAATATTGACCCTTAACGTTAAATAAAATTTTGCTTCCTTTTTTATGAATAACAAAATCCTTTTTTCAGGATAAAAAGAAAAATAATGAATTTATATAACCGGAAGAGTTATTGATTTTTTCTGTCTGCATATATATCACTTCCTTAATTTTTGTATTTATTTTGACATTTACCCTTACAGAATGAATGTGAGAAGATGTTGATACTACAGACAAAATTGAAGGAAATGAGAATGAATTTATTTAGAATGTTCAAATGGTATTGAGGAGGATTGAGATATAACATCAATAAGTAACTAATTTACTTATTTAACATTGAAGCTTTATTGATATTCACTTATAGGCTCTATCAGTTGTCGCGTGTACCTAGCTCTTCGGAAAGGGAAAACAGCATGATGAAAAATTGGTAGAAGTTGCAAGAATATAGGCTCTTCCTTAATCTTTTTTGAATTTTTTAAAGTTGGTTTATAAGCCATTGGCGGTAAGATGCAAAAGCACATCGATTACATCCTTCAATCATTTGTTTGCATCACGTTATACCGACTGATTATGATTATCTTTTACTATGGTCATGGAAAGGACTTGATGGAAAGTCAACAGCAATCGTAATGCAAGATTATCTTCAATCTGTAAAGACCTAGAACGAATGATTAACATTGACAATAAGTAAGGTCAATTTGCCTATCCTTGACAGCAATGACATCAAATTTCTAAGAATCCCACTTATCCCATCATTTATCACAATCAAGAAGCATCAGATACTTCTGCATCTCACTTACATTCCATACAAAATGACCCCAGATAATGCTAGATAATAAAAAACATCTCAAGAACTCAATATTATGCATGCTGTAATTTTTTATTTAAAGAAAAACTTAACATCATATTTTACATTTCCTGATATCTGTAAATGATAAATTACCAATAAATTATGGACTTTCAATTTTGTTACATAAAAAGTGAAACATATATGAAGCTATAGATTCTGAGAGGATGTTCAGTTCTTTCCCATACGTAATTTGCAAAGAGGTATATAGTAACCGATCTCATGCCATTTATCATCATTAATATTGGACATGCATAAAAAATTGTGCTGGATATGAATGCACAAGACTCCTCATCTCAGAGAGCATTTTTTAACATATTTTTTTATGTGAGCTTCATGCTGTTATATGTAAAAAATTTCATTATTTCCTCTTCCTTCTTCAAGTTCTTCTGCTTTTTTAGTTGACTTTTTTTTTCTCTCTCTCGTCTCATATAATCCAAAAGCACGAAGAGTGAAAAAATTTTTGTGACATGCAAGCAGCAAGCTCAAAAAAATATGCAAGCATGAATCTACACAATAATGACGCATTTATGAATCAAATGACTACAAAATGCAATTTCTTTGAAATTTACTTTAAATTGCATGTTCATTGTGGTTCTTTATTGCATGAAAATGGATTTTATTCCACTCAAAGAAGTGCTGTCATGACTTTAAGAACAAGCTCATGCTAAATTTTATGTAAATTTGTGCCATAAAGCAAATAAGCTATGGAAAAATTATTGAGTTTATGACTTGATGTGTTTAAAATAGCAATTTCGAAATTTAATTCAGTTTTGTGAACAAATTGCTTCAAAATTAAGTCATTAAAGCTGAACGTGAAGGAACATAAAGGTAAGTTATTTGATTTTAAAGAGTTATTGGCCCTCGAAAGAGATTGCTGTCATTTGACACGAGATTTTGGTTTTTTTAACGAGCGCATATGCTGCAGAGCTTAATCTCCATCTCACTTCATATATTAAAATCCTTGAATTTTCAAGAATTGCTGAACAGCTTTATAGTTGTTTTTAAGTTATTTACCATCTTTCTATGTAAAACCGAAGAGCTTAAGCGTCACTAAAAGGCTTCTCAATAGACTTTTGTCTAAATTTGGAATAAGTTTTTAGAAAAGGAATCAGACAGCAAGACAATCTGACCATTCAAAAAAAAATTTTTCAATAGAAAACTTTTAATAGCTTCATACAAGAAAAATACATATTTTTAAACAAAATCACATGTCGCTTAAAAATGCTCTCGTGTATTCTTTTACATTATCTTATCCTACATAATGTCGGATGTCTTTTTCATTTTGTTTCCATTTTATTAGGTTGACACGTGGCAAATCTTGAACATTATAAATAAATTTTTCAATCATAATTGACATAAAGGAAGTCGTTAAATAATCTTTGGCAAGGATTTTGAAGAGCTTTTGATTTGGTGACTTCTTTATTGATGAGGAGGGTGTCTGAAGCTGAATGTAAATTTATGAAGTTCTTCGACAGAGTCTAGAAACAAGAATTAAAAATCTATGTCTTTTAAGTTTAGTTTGCCATTGTGGCCCTCAAAAATAGGAACCAGGTATGTCGTGTACTAGATTCTCTAGTACTTCAAAGAGTCACTCTTGACTTAAATTTTGTAAGATTCTAGCAAAGACTTCTTATATACAACAACATTTCAGCATCCTCATGCCTCTTACATTTTAATTATATCCAAATTCTCCTTATTTCGTTTCCTTTCTCAATCTCAATCAATTCAAAGTTTCTCCTTCCTTTCTTTGACTTTACAGACACACGCAACACACAAGAATCATCTACCCCGAATTATCAGCATTCAAAAACTTTTTCATTCTTCTCCCAATTTCATATAAGACATGATTTTGATGCTAGATAAATTTAATTAAATTAATAGCTATGAACGAGATTTCTTGATGAAGGTTTTTCATACACGAGGCATTTTATGTGTGTACAATATTCAGATATATTCCCACAGACCGCTGACATAAAAATATTTCTTGTTACCGAAATGTATTTTTGACGTTCGTATTAAATGTTAAAACTGAACAAGATTAAAAGCTTATGGCTGAATATGCATATACGTGGATATTGTTGATACCTCCAAAAGTTTTCCAATTTTAGGGTTCAGTTCAAAATATTTTGATGTGCCGTTATTTAATAATTCTTCATTAGTTTTAGACATGCACAAGATAGTTTTCAGGAATAATAACTTTATCGTTAGATAAACTAGAAATCATGTCAGTGAGCAGATGAGCATGTGCTTGTAAAAATTAGAAAAATTCTTTTAAACATTATGGCAAGCATTAATTGAAGTATATGTTCAACTAATTATAAGTAAATGATTGATTTCATGAGTTGCTGTGTCTAAAAGTTTGCAACTTCATGTCTAAAAGAAGTCAAAATATACTTTGAGGTTGTTCTTTAATGACGTCATAGGGGAAAGATGACGTCATTTAAGAAAAGACTCTTTTCAAGGTAAACTCAAATTTTTCGTACAAATAAGCTTTAATTTTAAGACATTACCTCTTTCTGTAAACAAATAAGCCCATTTTTCACCTTGCCATAAATTATATTTACAGATCAATCCACAAACAACGGCTTTACATGAAATGTATTCACAACTCAGTCAACACACTATAATAATATCAGAGGAAAAATTTCCTCCCTAAAAGGGATAAATTAATAATCCTTTTTGGGATTCGACATTTGTATTTTTCTGTGTATGTGAACAGGAAAAAGGAAAATCGTAAATTCCATGATCTCGTAAAATATAGACACTAACCCGTAAGGTAAACCGCAAAAAGTTATTTCACTATCTAATGTTGAGTAAAAAATGAGATAAATAAAATAGGGTTGGAAGTTGAGGTTAAGTTGTTGATTAAAGCGCTGTTTTGGGTTCGAATCTCAAGTTTTCTATGCTCAGAAAGTTTTTTTCAGAATCAAAGATTTACAAATTCAAAGTCAATCTAGAACGAAACTATAGATTAGACACACTTTTCTCTAGAGAAAGTTGACAAGCTACGTCTCTGGCGTGAGACTGTCAGCTTCAACTCCTTTGCAAAGCAATAATTCTTACAAAAGGAAAACTTAGGATACCTCCCTAGTCTGCAAAGCAGCTCTAAGAACCGTTTTAAGTTGACTTGAATTTAACTAAGCAGCACTCGAAATTATACAGTGGATATTAAGTGACTAGAGCTCAATTTTCAACTAATATTGAACTTCTAACATTCAGCAGTCAAGTCATGCAGTCATCCAAAAAGGTTAACAATCACTTCATTTAGATTCTCGGTTGACAAAATCATGAAAAAAAGGAAAGAGCCTTAAAAATTATATGAAAATCTCAAAAATAGTTGATTAAACAAATTTTTCCTTGTTTTTTGTGTGTTGAAAATTATTTTTTTCTTCCTCTCAATGAAAGTGAAACCACATAAAGTTTTGGCTTTCATCTAGTCTAACAAAAAAGGAGAAAAAAGATTTCATGATTGAATTTTTTCCATTTTTTTCTTTCACACATTTATAAAAAGGGATCAATTTAAGGCCAATGGTTGGATTTTGCGGGAAGGAAATGGAAATTATTGAAATTTTTTTTTATAAATCTAGAAAAGTTTTCTGGCAGTTCCTCCTCAAACTGATATTTACTCAAAAATATCTTTCATATTTAACATAGAAAAATTAATTAAAAATGTTAAGGACATAGATATAAATTAAATGATGAAACCTCATTGAATAGATGTGGGTTGAAATAAATGGAAATAAGCTTTATGTCAGGGATAAGATTTTTGGGGATCCTTTTTCATCTTTTCATTAATTGAAGATATTGATTGAAGTGTCTTGAACGACTTTAGCTTACTTTTAAATTATGTTAATCAGGTTGATGGATATTTTAATTCTTATTAAAAGTTTTTAATCGTCAAACGATTCAAAGCTGCTTACAATGTGTCGAGAAGTTATTGATGGACTTTAGTTCTATAAAATTTCAAAATGCTAGACATTAAAATAGCTATAAAGTATCAAATTACACTCAACTACTCATTAAGATTCAAAAATAATGAAATCTGAAAAAAAATTAAGACAAAAGATGTAAACTGATGCTTATTTTATGGATTATCTAGATATTAACCCGAGCGGCACAAGGTGGAGGGTAGTCTCCATATGGAATCCATATAAAAGCCACCTCCACTATGTGGAAAGTAAATGGAGGGTTATTTTTTCATCCTTCATATTGATTCCATTTGGATTCCATATGAACTCCGCTTTTTCTTAAATCAAATACCGAAAAACTCGTGCTTTTGAATTTTTAAAAGACAAAGGTCAGATCTTACTGTAATGGATTGAAATATTGTCGAAAAGCTTTACTGAATCATATTGCTTCATTTCAAGCTTTAAAAAAGCAAAAAAGGATAATTTTTTGTGATTTTGTATGAAATTACATACTTCACAAGCGCATGCAGAAATCACTATTATATGGGGTCGTTTAATTTGTATGAAAATTTTTAATAATTTCTTATGTTTCTCTCGCGTGTGATCGAGACTTAGAAATTTCTGTGGTTGCGACTTAATTAAATTAAGTTGTAAATTTTTCAATGGTGTTAGTGTACTTTAATTAAGTCCACTAATACAGCTACAAATCTTGATATAAAAATTGCGAAACATAGAAAAACACGTGGAAAATCGTACCAAAAATACTTCCATTAAACCTCCGTTTGACTACCACAAATGGATCCTCCATCCTCCATCAAAACCTCTCAAATGACTTCCATTTGGTGTTAATAAATGCACGTCCCACGGAGGATTTTCGGAGCTTTGGCTCCGTCAAAGTTCCATGATAGTAAGGTTTTCGGAAGATTTTCAAATGGAGGGTGGAACATGGAGGCTCCGTATAGCTTCCATATGGAAGGAAAATGGAGCCTTTGTGCCGCTCGGGTAAGTAACAGATTAGCGAAGAGGTATTAGCATAGCTAAGGAAGAGGTAAAAGAGGAAAGATAAATTGCTAATTTAATTGTTACGTAACATTCAAATAACGCCTTGATTCCAAAAGATCATTAGTTCACATTCCAATCATTAAGTTAGTAAAAATCTTGTAAGTTTATTTCAAAAATTCATTTCTAACTACACCAATCATTAAAATGTAAAATGATATTCCTTAAACAGCTTAATGGTATTCATTTACAATGGTTTGTTGTCTTAAGTTTTAATTTTTCCCTTCTTTAAACTTTTTCTCAACCACATTATGAGATGAAGGACGTCAGGAAAACCATTTCATTAAGCTCAAATTTGATTGTGAATAAATTCTTAGTCCGCCTTTTTATTTCTCTTTTTCTTGCTCGGTTGCTGGTCTTTAATTGTTGAAGGGTCGGATGGATAAATCACAAACAATGACAGTTGAATTATATTAATTACCAGCATTAGTGCATTTTGGCCCTGAAATGAGAGAAACAGAAGGAGAAAAAATGGACTAAGTGCCGCTAATTTAGTGAAAATTTATCAAATTTAATTACTATAACGAATCCACTTTGGATGATGATACCGTGAAGGAACCAACTAAGACCGACAAAGAAACCAGTGATAATCATTGGGAATGGCATGTGCTTTGTTGATTTTTCTTTAAATGCTCTCATTGTATCCATAATTGGAAGAATCATAAATCCGAGGAATAATGCTGTGAATATCAATCCAAATCTATGCTCAATTTTCTCAGGATCTTCATACTATAAGTGAAAAAGATACAAAGAGACATAAAGTAGCATAAAATTATTAAAAGTCATTGAACTCATTTTCATATCTCGCTCACGATATAAAATACAGCAAGATACAATGCATACCTCAGAATATACGAGAACTCCAACAATGAACGCTATGGTTGCAAACAGCTTCTTATATTCAGCACTCTTTTCAGCTGCTGGGATGTAATAGTAAAATATAGTCACGTAAACCACTGAGAGAGCTAAGCCGATAGCGTTTGAATTAAAGGAAGCATCGTCGTTTATCAATACACTGAAGCGTGTACCGAGTGCTGTGCTGTAATGAGAAAAATAATGAATAACTTATGGAGTCATTCGTAAATGATGTTTTCAAATTTTTAGTAGGATGGAAAGGATCTGATGCTCTGTAATAATTTTGTGGCACAGATGGTAGGGTTCTTAAAAATATTATTGACGTCACTTGCGTACGACCCATAAATTGATAACAAATTAACTTTATAAGTGAACTACGAGTATAAGGGTATGGTTTGGAGAATAAGGCTGAGACATCTAATGTTATACCTTACTATAGTTTGAGTAATAAAGCCGCTCACGCTGACATTACAAAATCTCCATAATTTCAACAAAAATCATCAATTTGCATCAGCCAAACAGCACCACTCAACACCAAAATCATAACAAAATCATTTTCATCGGCGCAGTACTCACAAAACAGTAATAAGAAGAAACATCAACGATGGCATTCCATTTGTTGATTTTGTTTTGCTCATTCCATAGAACACTGGAATTGGACTAGCTATCTGCACTAATGTTAGCAATTGTGCTGCCTTTGCCACATAATCTTTGTAAGGTTCCAAGATTTCTGACAAACTTTCCATGCTTAATTTTTTGTACGTCTATACTTTTTAAATGTCTAATAAATACTAAAGGAAAATGAACTTTTATCTGAGCAACAGAAATCGAGATAAGTAATATGTTTGAGATAATTCAGTCATTATACCATACATGGCAATCGTTGAGTGATTGATAACGATAAAAGCAAGAGATTACAATTAGGAATGACTTGAAATTATTTGATTGTGTTGTGTAACTTAAGAATTTTAGAAAAATAAATTTCTAAATCACAAAAGTTCAAGGTCGAAATTCTCTCAAAAATGCGACTCAAATTGAGAGAATTATAGAAATGGCCTTGACAAAAAAGAGCACAACTGAGAATAAAGTTATTTTTCAATCAAAACGTAATTCAATGTTTTTGGTTTGTGTATTCACTATTGTTGTGTATGACAATTAGGGTAGGGCGTGCACAAGCATGTGAAACTTATGTAAGCTGGTAAATGGTTGGAGTTCAAAGAATTTCCGGAAATTCTCTGATGACACGTGATGCGTAGGTTGTTTTGAATTCCTTTTGTTGATTCTTGAGGGGACAAGCGTTGTAATCAGTGCTTTAGCGGCAATTCTAAAACAAATAATAAATTACAAACTCACAAGTTCCACTCTCTTGATTGAAAAACGTGAGTAAGACACCTGATAACAATCTACGTAGTAAGCATGAAAACTTATCTTACAATGGATATTTATAGTAAAAAAATTAATTATATTTACTTCCATACTTAGTAATCAAAAATAATTATGAATGATAGCTGGAATAAGAATACAAATATTGTATGGAACTGACTTAGACAATTTTTTGCACGTAACAATAATTAATCACTATTAATGACGAAGATACCTTGATTTTTTGTGGTATAATCGCAAAGTTTTGTAAATGATGTATAGGGTTTCGTTTTTCAAGAAAAAATTAAGCAAATCATGGAAGTGAATTTCATGTTGTTGTGGCTGTTTATGGAAGCAAAACTTCAAGAGGTTCTTATAAGGTTTCTTGAAGAAGGTAAAATGATTAATTTTGTGGAAGTCTTTTTGGTAAAATTGAGTTAATTTCTTGAGAAATTAACATTGCATATCCAAAATCAGCTTAAGTCAATAAAAATCTAATTTTAACTTCCGACTGACCATCATCATCCACATCATGTATTCACATGTCACATAAAATATGCAAAAATTGGAAGGAGATTGAATCCATAAAATTCAAATCATGTTTGGCAATTTAATTTTCATCTTCAATGAATATTTCAGCATCATCAAAAGGAGAGAATAGATAAAGAACGCTTTTGAAGAATTTCACTTTCTATTTTACTTCACATCCATTTAACATTAAATGCTTTTTCTCTCTTCTGCAACAATGTTCAGTGTGTTGAAAAAAAAATCATGAGGTTAAAGCGCGCTTTTTGTGGGAAATTCTATTGACTGAGATGGAGTTTTAGAATAAGTTTGTTGCAGCTTGGATCTGAAGTCCTTTTGGACAATGAGGAGTTTAAGGTTCTTTTGGCTGTCTTAGACTCTTTTGACTACTACCTATTTATTGAAGAGAATCTTCTTCCAAGCTGGTTTTAATGACTTTCTGTGGTATCATGTTCTAGTTGGAGGCACACTTTATTATCGAACAAATCTAGGGGACGAAACCCATTGTTATGTGGCAATAATTTTGAGAATCTTTGTTTTGTCGATACTCTTATGGAATAATAAAAATTAATCCCAATCAATGATGGGAATCGAATCATTGGTCTCACAGAAGAGACACCTCAAGATTTCTGAATTATTTTCTATCCCCTCGACCACATAGGCTTCACTCTCGCACTGGCTGATTTTCATACATTTGAACCTTCCAGATTTTAGTTTACTCAGACATAAAAGCCATAAGCTAGTCAGTCTTGGATGTTTTATGGTATTTGTGAATCAGTTCTCTTTTTTTGAAAGCTACTAAATTTCCCCTAATGTAGCTTCAAAATTAAGACATTCAGGTTTCTGTCTTTATAAAAATCACACAAAGTTTGCAAAATAAAAATGAATAAAGAATATCCGAACTACGTGGAGCTTTCAGTAGCTTCTTAATAAAGTCTTATATCTTCTGATTCAATATCTAATAACCTTGAAAATAAGGCAAGGTTTTAAGTTGTCATCAAAAAATTAAATTCAAAATATTTCCGTGCTCAACTTTATTCCACGTTCACAGAACAGCGCTACCTCAAGTCACCTACATTTCTCCCCCATCACACAGCATTTCTTATCCAATGCATATTTTTGCTTCATGTTGAACGAGAGCAGAAAAAAAGGAGTAAAAAGATAAATTTATCTACATGATATTTTTTGATGTTAAATGATGTTGAAAAGCATATTTGAGATTAGTATAAAGGAGATAGACGAGGATGGGAATGGAAAGTATAAACAAAATAAAATCCCATTACATTCTAATTTTACTTTCTCTCCATCGCTTTTACATTTTAGTTTAAGGAAAGTTCAATGTATTGGAAAAATGAGATCACTTTAATGCTTCAGCATTCACATATGTAATAGCATTTTAAGGATTTCGTAAATGCTTTCTTGCCTCTCTTCAGAATTAGCATATTTTTAAGGGTCCTCTTTCTGCTCCTTGACACAAATATGATTTTTGCAAAAAAGTTATTGAAAAGATTTAATAAAATGAGATGAATCTATAGATGAAATGATTTTTTGATGCCTAAACACTTCACAAACAGCTTCAATTTAATTTGAGATTTTTTTGGAGGGAAATTTATCGGAATGGGGAATAAAATTTTATATTTGACATAAAATTAAATTATTATGGATTATTTTGGAATAATTTTCAAATTTTAAATTACTCAGTTTTAGATATGAGTTTATGATTAATAAAATTTTAGAGTCTTGCGCTGCTTTTAAATTAAGTTTTGAGAATTTTTCGAATTTTTGAAGAACTTTTAAAAAAGTTTTGAAGTTTTAATCGTGGTTTAAAAATCATTTTGAATATTATGGAGTTATGGGGAAGATTTTAATGCAGTTTTAACTCAGACTTTCTGCCACGATATTCAAAAATGTATGTCTTAAACCCAATGCTAGCAAACAGAAAAAATTTTGAGTTCTTATTATTCGAAATTCGAATTTTTAAGGTACTTATTTTTCGAAAATCGAATCTTCGAAGTTCTTATTTTTAAAAAAATTCGTTGTTAATTATTATTTTTCGAGTAATTTGTAATTTTAGTGAACATTCCTACTAGTTTTTTTGTTTGTAACGGACTCTGTTCTCTTTGCTAACATTGGTCTTAAACTTTAATTTGTTTATGACTGACATGCAAAGAGTAGCTCAGATATCTCTAGAAAACGACCCTTGGATGTCCCAGTTCTCCAATGTGATAGCGCAGACACTCTTTCATCCCCCTTCTCTTAGTAACTGTCATAGCACCTCCCATTTTCCAATTCAAACAATTAAAACATCCGGAACAACCTAGTAACATCATATAAACTTTTTATTGCTATTCATCATTACTGTCAGCTTGAGTTCATAATTAACTTATCCACACAAAAAAAAATCTGCACAGACAGCATATTATACACCTTTTTTAATCAAAGGATCACCCTTTAATTATGCTTTAAACATTTTCATTCACTATGTCCTATTCATAATTTTATTTATCTTAACATGTATGAACATCAAAAATGATGCTGTGAGCTATAAGCACTTTTTTTATTTCTGTATAATGAAATTAATTCATTTTTTTGCCGTCATCACAGAGACGAGAAAAGGAACAAAAAAAAATCAACATTTTATGCTTTTGGTCTATTTAATTATAAATCTGAAACATAATTTAATTTTTTTATATGAATGTTTATTCTACACAGAAATCTGAAATTGGTTAGCATAAAAAGTGAGGTTGGTGGGAGGAGAGGAAGCAGTGAAATAAATGAGTTGAATTATGTGATTAATTTTTGAAAGAGTGAGTGACGCTTAATTAGTGCTAATACATATAAGGACAAAACAAATAGAATGACATTGATGATAAGTCGAGCAGAGGTTAATCAGACTAAGTCTGCTCAAATCTTGGCATTCAGTCCCGAGTGATACTTTCTTTTATTAATAATAAATTAAATCCACTAATCAAAGGTGGAAGTAAGCCTCCGTAAAGCCTTCATTCGGAACTTAAGATCCATAGCTGTGCATAGCTGCATTTAACGAGAGAGGGTTCGCCAGACCTCTCGACAGTTTTTATAGTGGGATCCGAACCATTCCTTTGATGACATTTCTGCCTGTAGCCTGTAAAGAAAAGCTGTGAGCCTCATTTTCAGTACATAAGATTCGAAAATGGATAAGTAAAGATTTTCCCATGCCGAGTCTCGAACCTATGATCACTGTGTCAGTATTGCAATAATTAGGTACTAAACCATTCCACTACCGAACCACTTCAGCTTACTGCTAAATGCTTTTACTAAGATTTAAATCCACACGTACATATCCAAAAATCTGTGATTCTGCCTGCTCCTACAGCATCCTTTAAACACAGCCTACAAGAAATTCCAACATCAGTTCTCCCACACAATGGAAACAGATACAGTGAATAGACAAACTGGCACAAAACCACAACATCCTTCTGTAAAATGTAAAAAAAAACAATAATAAGTAAGTTTAGGACAAAATGAAAGGACTAGAATGAGGAACAGAAAAAAAAGCCCACAGAAATTTTAGAACAAAAATTAAGTGGTGTTAATTATGTGCTTTTCTGACATTTTTGAATTATAATTAAAGGCTGCTCTTTATCCATGTTAAACAGCCTTTTTCAAGCTATTACCGTGCGAATATTTTAAAATGAGAACAAAAGAATGTCACAAGCGAAAAATGAGTAGCAAGAATAATATTATTTTTTTCGTCATATATATCCTTTCACCCCGACTTCTTCGTTGTGCTATTAGTCGACAGAATAGTGAAATTGCTAAATAAAACATTGTTTAAATACTTAATTGCCATCATTGTTAAAATTAAAACCATATATTTTCTTAAACATTATGTGATTAAATTTTAATGAGAAATCCTTTCATTTATTTCTAT